ATATATATATATATATATATATATATATATATATATATATATATATATATATATATATATGAGAAAGAGCAAGAGAACAAGAGGTAGTCAGAAGTCATAAATATCAAGCCAACCAATGTACTTTAAACATTATATCGATTTTCTATAAAATACATTCCGGTCTTTATCGAGAGAAATCGCATACACGATTAGAAAGCTAACTGAAATTTGCGAACCGAGAATATATATTTGACTTGCATAAATCAGAAACTGTTTAATTGTATTGCGGGATAAGTACTGATTATAGGAAACAGACCAATGATTGCTCATCGTTAATATTTATTAGATAGATACATTTTCGTCTCTTCTTATATTGAATTCGTATACAGCGTATAGTTTGACGTGCAATCGGTTATCAGACTTTTCGTCGCGTCATTATATATTAGTGTCCTCGTGTATATCACTATCTTATATATATGTATGCAGAGAAAGAGCCGCGCCGCGTCATAATGCATTAAAATATTTACTGCAAACTAATTGGAAATTTGCGATAATGACAATTGACCTGACTATTCTACATTGCGTCTTTCAATGGGTCTTTCGAAATTGACGTCTGATCGTTCAGGACAATCTTGCTCCGCCAGATCCTGGACACTCCCCTTTGCTCTTCACGGCCAGTTCTACGATGTGAGAGTGATTAATGATATCAATGATATCAATGTAAAATATCAATGATATCAATGTAAAATAATATGTATACATTATTACATTAATTGTATAACGAAGTGAATTAAATTTATCTATCCTTTAAATATTTAAGGTTTTCACTTTGACAATTTTAACATATATATTTCTTAGTATATCCCTTCATCTTCTTCTCGTTCTTATTTACTTACTTGTTCCCATTTCACAGTTGTGGACGTCCAGAGCGCACTGCGTGCCAAAGGTCCTCGGCTTGATATTGGAGTCCGCGGGATCGTGAACGCAAACAGGATCGTAATCGTCTCCACATTCCCTAGCGCAATCCTTCTTACTTTTCTTCGCCTCCTTGGCAGCCTTGATGGCATCCTTTACGTCCTTCGACGCGGTCGCCGCTTCTTTGATCTCCTTGGGTTCCTTTATTTCCTTCATGGTGGTCGCTTTTGCATCGTCGGGAAGAGCATATGCGTCCTCGCAGAACGTAAACATGCTAAGGAACGCCATCGCTGAGAAGAGTTCAAAGAAGAGAATAGAACATTGGAGATAATATTCAAAATACATAATAATCTACGATAAAATGAGTTTTCTCGAAATAACTGGGGAAATAGATTGCGTTTGAATTGCGACTGCAACATTTTACGGTGCAAAACAGCTGTTAATAACTCTATAAGGATGGTAACATCGCAATCATCTTATCATGATCGTAGATTAGTGTTGAGTAGTTTTGAGCGGCTGAATTATAATTTTTGAAAGCTTCCGTGTCGGTGGGTTCTACGAGAGAACGGCATTACGTAAATCCATTGAAGGTAGCTTAGTATCTCGTTGGAACGCTACACGGCCTTAATGCGCGTCTCTATTGGATGATTGCAGCTTTATTGAAATCAAGGTTTATTTCGAATCGAGATCGGCACACTCCTGACGATTGCGACGTTTCTTCACTCAAGGCCACTTATGCCTACGCCCATTTAAACATCTTTAGCTGGTCCAGTTTTTCTTTCGCTATCTCGGAAATAAATGATGCGTGAATGATAAGCGCGCGATTTCCGTTTAGTCTCTCAAAATGATTAATTCTGGAAAAAACGCTTACTTGACTCCACGACACAACATTGGCTAGAATTGATCTTGGAACGAGTTTTAAATCAATGCAATCAGTCAATAAAAATGCACATTATTAACGCAAATTGCTATAATAACGCCATAAAAGCTTTATAATCTTATAATCTTTCAAAATACTTTATGTAATTAGAGAGCTTACTCTTGATTAAGAATTCTCTTATTGTATAGACTCTAAGAAGAATTGCGCGAAAGCGAAAAAGCAAATTAAAAACGAGATGTGTAACCAGCTAATAAATCGTAGACATCAAATAATATTTTATCACATTCGCGATATGTTCAAAATTACTTCCCTAATAACATGTATTTTAAACTAGGCGTACGTAATGTCTCGTTGACATATCGAAACTTATATATAATTCAGGACTTACTTCTTCAATATTATCTCGCATAGTTATACTGTGTTACCCTTATGGATTTTTGCACAATTAGAGACTAACCGCACGCGTCAATAATTCCGTTAAATTTTTGATTGCTTATTCCAACGTATTGGATAGTCGAGAGGAAAGGAAAGCTGTAACTCGTAATGACTCTATAAAACACGTAAAACCGGTTGGTATAAAGTCATGGCGCGTGTAACTAATTGCGGACAAGATCGCGCTAGTAAACCTTAAACAAAAGTCGGGGCAATTTTCGTACCAACTATAATTGCTACCTCCATTGTTCCGACCGATCGTTGGCGCGTATGAAAGTCAGCTGCAATTTCCAGGCACGATGAATGGCTGTCAAGAGAGGACTGACATATCGTGTCACCATGCTACGTTTATAACCGAGCGTAGAGATGAAATTCATCCCCACCTGCGGGGAACTTGTAGGACGCATTACGTCCGGATCATGTACGTCGGATTAATTATACTTTATACAGCAGACGATTTCTCTCTCCATACAACTCGTTAAAGAAGACACTTAATCGCTAACTAGCCGATGGACAATCGTCAAATTAATCAAGTAGCTTTCAATTGTTACCAACACGATAACAACCGTTTAAATAGAATGTCACAAATAATCACGTTCTGGACGAATTCAGGTACTTGAAAACATTGTGATACGTTTAGAAGAAATATATATATACATATTAGCACAGATTTAAAAACTACAAAGTCAAACGCAGACTTTGCGACACTTATTTATTGCCAATAAAACAGATATAATAGCTTTTGTTTGTTACTTTCGGAATAAATTAATTTCTTAACGTTGATAGGTAACAGGCATATCAATTTTCGCGTGTCTGAGATATTCTGGCGCGGAGAAGAAATGACGAAAAATTAATTTATTTTCCGGCTCACTTTAGTGCGCAATTCGCTAACACGTAATAGCAGCCGAATAATCAGTCACGTTGCCGCGGCCGCAAGAAGAGATCATCGTTGTAATTTGCTCTAATCGCGACGTCTCGGATGACGTTGATCGCGAGATACATCCGGCGCAGCTTTACGATCACAGCTTTTCCCAAAGTATTCTCATGCCCGCGAGAAATTCTCGCGATTTAATCGCTTCTGTAATGGGCGCAATCGAAGTTCACGGTCGATTGGGTGAATAAAAAACATTCTGCATCGAAAGAATTAATTTTTGTAAAATTTAATAAATAAATAAATAAGGTAGAGAAAGACGAGACTGCGACGACGACGAGGTGAGAATGCAGGTGACAAGCTTCTCACTGCTCTTTCCGTTGCGTGACCTGCCTCTCTTCTTCCATGTAGCTCTTGAATAAATTCAAATAGTCGTCCCAAGATTCGCGGAACGTGAGAGCTTCGGCGATGCGGCATCTGGGTGTTGTGCATTTCTTCGTCGAACTGGAACCAACGCTGTTTTGTGCCTCGTATTTCTCGACGGAGCTTCGTACTGTAGCCTCGAGATCGTTCAGTGTCTTCAAAGTGGCGTAAGCTGTAAAGCGCGAAGCCTCATTACTCGAAAGCAGAAGACGAGTTAAAGTCACGAGACAATAGCCCTGAGTGGCCCTCATTAAGAACTTACGCGACGACAAGCTTCGCTCTTCATCGTCCTCGCCTTTATTGCCCTTCTTCTTGATGATCTCCAGTTTAGGTATAAAGAGCAACAAGCAAATTGCCGCGATGAATTTCACGATCATTTTGAAGATAACCAGCTTCAATATGATCTTTGCGATAGTGAAGGCGTTCAGTTTGAGGGCGATCGGCCAGCCTAAATCGAAAGTCGGCAAGATGGAAATGTGAGACACATCCGGCAGTGCGTAAGGTGCCCCATACACCGGAGATGGAGGGGAAGCGTGTATGGAAGTTCCATAACCTGCGAACACAAGGTAAGAAATAGTGAAATCGAGCGATCAAAGGATACTGAAATGATGGATGATGAGTCAAGAACCAATTCTCGCTAGAGAAACCCCAATAATCAATAATCTAATCACCAGAGGTTCATGAAGAGAACCTCTGACTTTACCTTGTTGGGGAGGTGGGTACGAGTTCCCAGGCGGCCCGTATGAGGTCTGGGGGTAGAACGAGGAACTTGGCGGACCGTACGAGTTGTGCGTTGCACCGTAGTGCTCGTTCGAGTTGATCGACGGCCTGAAGGGTTGCGCGTAGGAGTCGCTGATGGATGAAGAAACGCTCGGGGTGCCGTAGGCGACTTGCGGGCCCTTCGGGGGGTACGCCGAATCGGGCGAGCTGTATCCCGTGTCCGGTTTGTAAACGGAACCCGGTGTGTATTCCCTCCTATTCGCTTTCGTCTTCGAGTCCGTCCGTACGACACCTTCTCGCGGATCGTCGTTATTGCGAGAGTGTCTCAGTGCCTCGAGATAACTGTCTCTCTTCCAGGCGGTCTTTGAACTCTTGCTCGTCCATTGGGGATTGTTGTGAACGTGCCAAAACCATCGGGAACTTTTCGAGACGGGTTTCTGGATGACGTTGCCGCTGTATTCGTCGGCATGCACCTGGCCGACGATCGTGGGATTCACAAGTGAATCGGTCCTCGTCGTCGCCATGTCGCCACTGGAGTTGCTGATGTTAGCGAGGAACGCCGCGTTGGTCGACGACGTTGGACCAAGCATGAGATCCTTCCCCAGAGTTATCGACGCTTCGGATTCTCGGGCCTCTATCGTCAAGGTGGACGCATTCGGTGTGCTCTGATGATTCGAAGGGATCCCTTCGTGGCTTGAGACCAGAACGAAGCAGAGCAGGAGGATTTTTAAGATCCAGCCGAATCGATATTCGCGCGCTTGATAACGAGACGCCATTTTGCCTGTGATCTGTCGTTGAAGAGACGAGATAATCTGCGAGAAGAGAAGACGTGTTACAAAGCTTGGTCGTGAATTTTATAAGGCGCGCGCCCGCGCAAGGTGCTGCAAGCTATTGGAGAACTTGCCGGACAGGCGTTATTGACCTTCTGGTATAATTCTTCGAGAATCCATAAATGTGAGATTTTTGACAAAGCGATACTATTTTTATTGTAGAACGAAAAGACATGAAAGATAGCGAGTAACACACTCGAGTAGCACGATGCAAGGCGCCTTCTAGATGAGTGCGGAAGGTCCCTCTTGAATACGAAATGCCAGTAACTGTTCGCGCATACTAAGCGAGTAGCGGGCATCGCTCCCTTTTAGCAGTTTATCGGTCATCTCGACTGCGACCCTAATTCGTGGGTGTAAAACAGCTTGCAGTGATTCGCAGTTTTGCAGCGAATTCTTGCGGCAAGATAATCTAACATGCGTCAAAATTTGTTCATTTTTGCCTTCTCCGTGTTACTAAATAAATCATTAGTATCGCTATCCGCGAGATAACAGGATATTTTAAGCTAAGTGGGAAGATAATGTCAGTCTTTTCTTATACGTTTTAAGTGCTTTGTTTTCCCAAGATGAAGAAATTACGAGTAATGCACAACCCCCTCCTGATAAATATCCATACCTCGACTAATTCTTCTCAAGAAAATGAGTTTCTAGTCTTGACCGATGGTAATACGGGTGTGTAGCTTTGAGTAACGTCGACTTCCAACAGGAAGTTCTCGTTTGTTATCCAAGAATTCGCTCTCAAAAATCTCTTCTCCATAAATATGTTCACTCGCGAATCGTTCACCCTCTCACTGATTAACGACGGCACAAAAATTCGCTCGCTACAAGATCGTTCTAGTAACGAACTCACGAAACGCTCGTCATCCTCTTGGCAGACGTTCACCTCGATCAACGTTCGTGAATAAAAAATCGTCGCCTTCGCTTCGTCTATATATGCCGTACGCATTCGGAAGGGGCACGAGAATCGCGTTATTGGGTTACTATTACAACGTGCTTCTTCGACATTGTCCATCCCAATCGTCAAGCAATCGCTACCAACGCTGTCGAGCATGTGCCAAAATTTTTTGCTACTTTTTCTTTAGGAAATCCACTTAAGAATGTGCAAAACGTGACGTTACAATGTACAAATAATTGAACGATTACATTATTTATCATATTTTTGTTTTTTTAATATAGGATGAGATTCGTTTAGCACTTTAAGCACTTCAGTGTGATGGATATATCAAACTTGTAGTTTTATTTAACGTTTCAAAACTTTCAGTGTCAAATGGATCCTGCTTATAGTAATAAGGGTTTCTATAATAACTAATCGAATTTTCACTGTCTATAATGTTTATAATCGAATTTTGTACTGTCTCAAATAAGACAATCAAAGCAGTTACATATCTTGCAGTTGATGTCTCGCTTTTTACTTGCAATGAAACTAATAATAATAATAAATTATGTAGGAAAATATTCCTCCAATACATATTGTTTATGAGAAATTAACTTGGGGCATTGTCTGTTATTTTAGAACTATATAATAAAAAAAATTGCAAGTTTTATTATTAAAACCTTAATTAAATTTTGGTCATTTTAAATCGGTAAAATCACTTTCAGCGAGCATACGTGAAAAACACACGGCGAAAGTGTGTTTTTCACGTTCAGTGAAAAAATATCTTCACATCTTAAGCATTCGTTTTATAAAATTGTTAAAAACATTGAGATGTCAATTATTGCAGAAGCTCGAAGGCGTGTCTGTATGTGTTTGGGCCCATTATTATGTGCTGAACGGTGCATCCGATAACGGTGTCACTATCCTTCGAGCCTCCTACGAATCTTTGATCCAATGGCACACTTTTAATTGCATTAGCGACATTCCTTCAACGATTCCATTATCTTTCGAATACGAAAAAAGGGCGTTTCGTTGCATTAATTAAATTTCTAGTAAAATACGAAATTCCGACCGAAATCATCAAAATTCTATTCAAGTTAACAAGTTAACAAGATGACTTGAAAAATATTCTAGTAACTAATCGAAATTTTGGTCTACTCATATTTCACCAGAAATTTGTTTAATTCAATCAAATTTTTTTTCGTGAAAAAGTGAGTAAATATTTTACCCATTAAACGTCCATCTGTATGTTTTTATCACTTGAAACTCACATGAAAATGAGGAGAGCATTGCTTCTATCGAATTTTCCCCAATTTATTTCAAAACATCCGATTAATTTTTTCAAAGATAAATAATATAAAAGAGAATATTTTTACACAAATTTTTATACTAAGAAATTCTGTGTCTTGGTAAATATTGAGCAGTATATATGATCAACGCTTACATAAATTGTAAAATTACCTTACAAGCGTGCAGTATATTGCTTATAAACAACCGATGGCTTATTACAAGTGCATTCGAAGAGCTTAAAATCAAACATAGTCAAGAATTGCAGACGGTCACTACGATCAATAAACCAACCTAACTAGGTCTCTGAGCAACCAAACACAGCGAGTTATACGGGCACAATTTGCTTAGTGAACAGAAGTAAAACTTGAATCGCGATAGTGTGAACAATACACGAGGAATTCCCGTTGAAAATACGTTTGCAAATTGGAAAACGCAACGAAATGAATTTTACGATCAGCGAGACAAAGTGCGTTATATATCTAAAAATCTAGTTAGAAGAAAGTTCCTTATAATTTACGATTGAATATGTCGCAGGTGGGTGAAATTCGGGAAATCTCACGACTTCGTCTTCGTTGGAAAAGAGACTGTTGCGACAGCCTCCGGCATTTATGTAAGCTTTTTGGATCTGAATACGAGAGAAAGGCGGATCGAGCGTTTCGACTGTGAGGAAAGGGGCGATGGCGCGTCTTGTTTGGCTGGACATCCGGTATATGTATACCTAGTATATTATTTACTTATTTAATTATCGATAATTTTTATTTTCATTTCTATTATTGAATATTCGGAAATAATCACAGCTACATTTGACAAATATAGTTCAACAGCATCATTATTTTGGATGTTACAGGTAGTTTCTATGTTTTCCATAGTCGAGAGAAAACCGAATCCCAAGATCTCGATATTCATGTACCCGACACTACAAAGGATTTCCAGATGTGTGCTGCCTGACAAAATAAATGGTTATTTATCCTGTTGCTTTGCTGGTACAGAATATCTGGCGAGTCTAACGAGTTTCCCGGATTTCCGAATAATCGTGTGGCTCTGGAAAACAGGCAAACATGTTGCGGCGCTTGATACGAAGATAGACAGCCTCACTCAAGAAATTTCGTAAGTAAATTTCGTAATTTAAATATATATCTTTGTATCTTTGATAAATTTATATAATACCTTAATTGTACCAATTTCTTTTTACATGCAATATGAATTCAATACAATATCTTTTTCATTAAACTTATCTTTCCAGCTTCTCGCTAAAAAAAGTTACAAGGTATAATTTTTGTTCACATTAGCTGCTCCCCGAATCCACCGCATTTCATATCGCAACTTGAGGCAGCCGATGGCTCACTTTCGATCTACCAGGTGCGCACGTGCTCGAAAATCGTGAGTATACATCACGTGAACGTGCCGTACCCGGAACACAGAGTCGTGTCTTCGTCTTGGACTCCGGAAGGAAACCTATTCATCTGCGACGAGTTCGGCAACGTGTGGCTCATGGCGATAGACGCCAATAAATTATACTCGGTAGTAAAATTAGAGGCATGCATACCACCGAAGAACAAACCAATTGTCGTCGCTTATAAGGGCGGCGTGATACTTGTGAATGCCAACAATGAAATAACAGTGCGTATTATATCGATTTTATTGGCTTTGCTCATTAATTTTTAATTTTACATTATATGCAAGAATATTTTATGTAAATATATAATGTGAAAAAATATCGATCTAAAAGTAAAGATTTATTGCTATTGTATTTTAATAATCTTCTGGAGACTCAGAAAAAGTAGAATAGATCTCTCGAGAGGAAAACTCTCGTTGAAACATAGATGACAGCTCGAAGTCGTATCTCTTATCGTTGACTGTTGACATAATTGTCGTATAATTATTAAAGTTTTACAAGAAGTCGTCAACCAACTGGAACGTATCGTGGCAATTCGTCTGGTCAATTTCGACGGCCTACCATTCCATTCGTGTGGCGAAACGACACAGCTGTAAAGATGGGCTTCTGTTCCACTCCAAAAGCGGAGAAATTTTTGAGATCAGCATACAGCATGACAACGTACCTCGCATAGAAGTTATTTATACAGACGATATAGAATACAAAGCACTGCTTTCTATCTCTCAACGAGCGGATCACGTCGCGGCGGTAGACCGGTTGGATCGTCTTTGCATTTTCGAGTTATTGAGCGGCAAACTAACAGCAAGATTATCTTTAAAACATCACGGTGAAGGTAAGATTAAATCCTTGTGTCTAAAAGAGAAAATTTAAAAAAACCAGGTATATATCACGCAATTTCTTGCGTGATATATACCTAGAAGGGAAAATTTAAGGAAACCAAATAATTTCTTGTGTGTACATATTACTAATTCAACAAAATTTTCTTTCAGTTCTTCGTATAGATTCACATCCTAATCTGCCGATGATTGTGTCGTGCAACGTTGTTGGCAGCTGCATTTTCATCGACGTCACGAATGTCTCATCGCCCAAAATTTTCAACTGTTTTCATCTTCACAGAGACTTCTTGGACAAGATGAAATTCTCACGCTGCGGCGAGCTTTTGGCACTCGGCAATTCTCATGCTGGCAATGTTTTCATCGTTGCTAAACCGCTCAAGCAAAAATGTATGGACGTTGTCGGACATTTAGAAATTGGTGTATATGTAAGACAGTTATTTACGACATATAATTTATTTATTTACGACATATAATTACAAATATGACAAATCGTATAAAGAATCCACAAGTAAAATTAATTCATTTATTCCTCTTATAGATAGCTGATTTTCTGTTGTACAAAAGGAACGACGATTGCTTCAAAATCTTAATCCTCGCAACTGCAAATCCTTCTGTAACTTCGGTCGGCGGCGACAAAGTAATCGTGTATACCTGTGAGATCTCCTGCAATTTTTGCGCGTGTGCCACATGTGTGATAGACCTGTCGAGACCTTTTCAAACGCTGTATCATAGATCACACAAGTCCCTGAGCATATTAGGTGTACCCTCTTTATCCAAACAATTGTATCAAATAGAAATACAAGTGAGTTGAGTACAATAAGGCAACGTAAGAAAAAGAAATTCGCCGATTCTTTCTTTTGCAGAACAATTTTCAAGATATTACTCTTACGAAAACGCTCTTCTCGGTGCATCAGCTAAGGAACATCGGAATACACGTGACGGATTCTCGCATCATAACGTATGGATATGACGGCTTGATCGTGATTAGAGACGGCGCAGAACTTGGAAGAGTGTTTGCGATTTTTATGCCGCATCATCGGAGCAAAGGCGGAATTAAGTCCGTAGTTTGTTCACGTTTTGGCGAAATGAATCGTCGAAATGAATCAGAAATAATCGTTTCCCTTGGTAGAAACGGCGACTTAGTTGCCAGCCGAGTCCGGTATTTAGCTACTGCTTGCATTTTGCATTACTCAAACTCGAGAAATGAAGTCGACTCTAAATCATTTTGATAATGTGAGCAGCTTGCCCGAAACAAGAGCAAACTTGGTAGAAACCGAGGCTGCAAGCACACATTTGTCTATTGAAGACTTCTCTTACGGCCCAAGCGAAATCCTTGAAGGGGAAACCTGGTTGGACAGTGTAATCGCCGCTAAACTGAAAGCCGAGTACAAGGAAGCTTTATCTGTGCGAGCTTCGATAATGGTTGACTTGAAGAAGATCAAGAATCAGGCATGCTCTAAGAATTCAGTCTGCCACTTTTAGGAAGTGATTGTAAATTATATAATTTTAATTATAGCAATTTTAAATTATATAATTGATAATGTGAATTTTGCAACAGATACGTGAGCTTCTCGACATAAACGAGAGCAAGCTACCAGACGTCCGGCTGCCTATCTCGACTTTCGACTTGGATCGCCAGTTTCGACAGCAGAAGATAGAAGAGGCGCGACTGAAACGACACGAGTTGCATCGAAGTCTCGAGAAAGAGTGCGCTCAACGAGATCAGGTGGTGTCATATCTGCGCGAAATATTTTGGACGCCGCTGCAGGTGAAGCCGTGCGCTCTCAGATCTATTGCTGGTGATATGAAAATCCATAATTATCCTCTCGTCGCGTCAAACCGAAAGATGAACGACTTTAAAGTATGGGACAGGTTGTCTTCGGACGCCGACGAATTTCTATACAGGCAATTACTTTCGTTTTCTTCTTATCAACTCATCACATTTAATACAATTTGCAATACAATGCAATTTATAGTCACATAGAAGTTATATTTATATAGGAGAATAATATATATTATTTACAGTTACGAGTTATATAACGGGACAGTAGACGATGAAGGTGATTCAAGACGAACATCATTAACGAGTTATTTCGATGACGCATCTTCAGCGACTAACAACGAAACGAAAGAAGTAGACGAGATGGCTAAGACGTGGTACACGTCGGCGGACGAAGTTGAAAAGTCGCGAATATCGGGTGTCACGACTCATAAGTGGATCAGGGATGAAAGTATAATTTTAACGCATCAGCTGTTAATTCCGTGTAACAGTAATCTGGAGACTATCTTGGAAAACGACATCATCATCGAAAATCGAGAGCGTAAATTAAAGGTAACGTCTACCTTTACAGGTCTATATAGTTAAGTAGATATATAGCAAATATATAGTTACGTTACGTTGAGGTTTTATCTTTCTTTCCCTTCTTAATAGATGTATTTTAACAATCTCTTTGAGGAAATGAGACGCTCAAAGGAATACGAACTGGAGCGCGCAAAGAAGCGTATCGAAAGACTTCGATATTGCGCTGCTGAGTTGAAGAGGATGTTTAGGATCGATTTCTCCCTAAAACCGATCGAGATGCCGACCTGGAATGTCGATGAGATACCCGATTACGTAGTCACCGTAGAAGATCGCGAAATATTTGAGAAACGATTGCAACGAGGAGAGTTCGCACTCGGGATAGTTCACGAAGACCGAGAAGATGAAAGGGAAGGCGAAAAAAGTAACGATTTCCATCTGAAAGCTCTCGATAAAATGATGGATGGTGTGTTGGAACTTAGGCGAGTTGAAATTGACAAATAAATGCATGATAGTTGTTACTTATTATATAAATTTTTACATAACGAAAACTAAATAGTTATTTCGAGGATTAAAATAATATAGTGTTCTGCTTTAAGATGGGAAGACGAGGTGAAAAAGGAGATACCTGTCCCAAAATGCCTAATTTTGAAGCACCTTTTAAAACGTATCGTCAAAGATATGGTAATTATTGCGGTGTATAAGTTCAAAGTGCAAGTGCTGACAAAGAAACGAGAGAAATATAAAGCGATGCTGCAGACTGAAATTTCAGAAACGGAAGGTTAGTGAAAGAGTTTGTAGATGACAAAACAGTTGTGTGTTTCGAAAGAAAATCTTAAAAGGAATTATAAAGTCACGAAATGTGATCTCCTTTTAGAAGCCTTGCGAAGAGACATCTCAGCGTTCAACGACAAGTTGAAGGATTTTGAATTAAAGAAGATACAGATAGAATGCTCGATCTTCCAGGAGAGATCGATTAGGCTGCGAGCGATTCGAAAGCATCGAACCAAAGCCGATAACAGGCAGGAGATTGTGCGTTTCATAGACGAGCAACTGACCCCTGCGACACGAGAGGCACACGAACTCGCCGAAGAATGCAGTTCGCTCGAAACAGTCGTGTCGGAGTTGAAAGTTCGATACGATAATCTCTGCAAGGCTGAGAAGCGTCAGGAAGCCAAGTTCCGCGGCGAATTCGTGGAGCTGAAGCAGCCGATGGTGGAACACTTGCTCAGACACTATAAGAAGCGACCTAGGCTTGGTCGGCTCACTTCCACGTCCGTCACGTATCTGACGGAGGTGGCCAGGTGTATCGTGAGCGGCGACAAGTCCGAAATCTTGCCGCGCGAGTGCCTGGACTTCCTCAGGGCCATGGACGCGTTGGACACGATGCCGGGCAACTTACCGCCGCAGATTAACGTCAGTCATTGGAGAATGATGTGTAAGCTGAGAAGAGCGAAGGTCGAGCTGGAAACGAAGGTGATGAGATAATTGTTGTAGAACGTGTTGTTCTTTCGTGCGTCTCACACGCTCGACAAGCATTATCTATAATCAGATCAGAGGAGGAACCTTTATACTTAATTAGCTTAAATTACTCGCCGTTACCCGGGTTATTGCAAATTGTCAAGGAATTGAAATCAGGAGGAAGAGATAGAGTATTTCATGGTAGCCTATATTCTTCGCAAGGTGAAGGTTACTCCTGCAGAGTAACTGCAAAATTTGGTCCTGATCGATCAAAAGATTTAGGAGTTTAAAAAAATCATGCAGACATCCTATTTTATTCTTCAAATAATTTTATTTTGGAGCACCCTCAACTAAAAATCTCCCTTTTCTCAACTCAGGTCTCAATGCAGATATATTTTTATTGATTGTAAATGCATGAAAAACATTGCTGTTGCGTGATAATTATTAGTTACTCGTTAAGATCCCATTAGTCTGGTCGTCGCAAATATATTGTCAAATTTGCCCCATAGTACAACATTTACACGTTATCATAATGAGATATATCAAATATAAAAAATAATGATTTCTGATTGTAACATATTTGGAGAGAGTCCCATATATAATGAGAGCCCCATATATAATGGAAACATGTCGCTCTGCTAATAAGCTCCTCGAGCTGACCATTAAAGGAAATGGAAAGTGGGACCGATGCCAAGAACATGTATAATGTCGAAGGTGAGATGCTGCGCGGTGGAGATGGCTGAGGCGGAGCAGACGTTGTCGTTTTATCAGAAAGCGATGCAATCGGCTGATAACGTTGTGGCATGCAAGAGGGTCAACCTGGACGACATGGAGCAAGCCTCGACGCGACTCGCAGAGGAGATGGAGGTGCAACTTGTCCTGAAGACGGGTCAGATCGAGGTCCCGTTGCAAGGCTGTCCTGCAGACTACGTAAATGCCGTTCTCGTGACCCGCGAGGAACTTTTACGTGTCAACGATTGCATAGTCGAAACCGGAAAACGGAAGCTGGCGGCGATGCACAGATCCATACATTCGCGAAAGGTCGTGTCGCAACACGAGTGGCAGCACGCTTGCGCCAAAATGCTGTTGGATGATCTGCAGCAAGAGCTGAAAGACGTTCGACAATTCAAGGTATATCTCTGTGAAAATTAACGAAGCAATGTTTGCTTTTCAGATCTCATTATGCAGTTCCTAATATTTTTTATGACTATTAATTATTAGTGTGGTATTATATTATTTTTTAAATATATATACCATAGTTACACATTCAAAATATATAGTATATAAAAAGACGCGGTTAAAATTTTTGCTTGTAGATTACAAGAAACGTGCTCGAACACTTGACCAGTGATCTACGCAGCATAAATCTGGAGGAAGATTATGAGAAGATGCGAGCCAATTTGCGATTGTTTCAAAACGTGAGTTCATCCATTATTTTATCAGTTCGTAGAAAGAAATTATCTAATCTAACTAAAACTATACCAGAAATTTCGTGGCCTGTTGGAATTGGAACAAGTGTATTTGAGAGAAGCGAGGCTGCTGTCGGCCAAGTGGAGGAGGAAAAACAACAGAATGTCGCAGGAAATCAAATCGAAGTCGTCGGATGTCGAGGAGTGCCGTAAGATGCTGAAGGATCCGTGTCGCGAGAAAGACGAAAAATCTCGAAGGATGAGACTGGCGATGATAGCGAGACGTACCAGACTTATTATGAAAGTCGAGGATAATTACGAACAGTTGCTGATCCTACACGCTCGTTTGGAAGTCTTGAAGTTGCGAACTTATCCGACCCTGAGATGCAAAACTTAAATTTATGCGTTACCTCGGCAAAAGATATTTTGCGGTTGTTGAAAAATATCGATGCTACATCTTTTTTCTTTTATTTGTGCTATTTATACATTCGAAGAGCGGAGAATACATGCATATGCAAGGAGAAGGAAGAGAGATGAGCATTAGGTGCATCGAACGCATTCTTAATCAGTTGCGTAAGTGTGCCGCAACGATTATCTTCACATGTTGCATCTGTCATGAATATTTTTATCTCGACCTTGATCTTGTGCTAAAAATCACGTGCTAGTTTTAGAGGAAAATTACTGCTTCCAAGAAAGAAATGAGGAAAGCGTTGTTGGTAAATTATCGCAACGCGAGGTATATCTCATAAAACAAGTAATATGCTTTTCGGTCACTTGGAAACAAGAACATGATCATTTTCAAAAATATGAAAAACATTAAAATTCCAAAAGTGACGACTTAATCCAAATTTAGCTTAATCGCAGCTTCTCAGACACAACAATCTTGGTCTAAAAAAGAATTACTGTTTCGTACCACTCTTTATTAATAACAATTATATCAATGAAAATCACTTGTTCAATAAGTAAAGTAAGAAACTGAACGCGACATTTGGCAAAGAGTATTAACTTGTCTCTCGAGATAAAACTACTTTTTTTAATTTGTTTTTTATATGTGCATAACAACTATACGTTTCGAAGCACGCAACATAACAACATTATCGAGCATTTCTGATATCGTTTATAGCGAGCGCGGAGATTACACACTTATCAGTTGTTTTGTAACGATAAACATAAGCGTGTATTTGCGTTATGTATGGACCATTTAATCCAATTTGGCATCTATCTATCATGAGAGGAAAACGGAGAGAGTTGTGGAATAGGCGCGATGTGACCTCACGTGTACACGGGGGAATTACCCGCCGATAGTTTCCTCGATGTGAACAAAGATCTCGTATGTTTCTTTCCGTTGTTGCGATGCAAATTAACACACAGACAGCGGCGCGCGTACGCGCACTTGCGTGCATGTCGCGTTCGAGGAGCAGCCGTGAAGGACACGAATTTGACAAACAGAGGCTGAGAACGCGCGTCTGTGTTGAAACCAGCAAACGTACCGGACGAAGTGGACAGCAGAGCAAGTGAAAAAGAATTGCCTCAAGGATTTCCCTCGACGACGTTATGAGAGACAGACCGGAGCAAGGAACCCATCCTGGAAAGTTACCGAGAATTTTACCGACTGCAGCGGTACCACGTCCGATGATGATTTTAACATTTATCTTCTCGTATAAACGAGATGTCCCGTAATATTTTGCAAATAGAAAAATGATCTTTGTCGAAAACCAAAAGTATTCTCTCTCTCTCTCTCTCTCTCTCTATCTCTCTATCTCCTCTTCCTCTTTCTTTTTTGGTCAAAAGATGAAAACTCAATTAGACATTATTCTCTCTGATGACATATGAGATCCAAATATTATACGAATGCTCTTGCAACTGGGAAAAATATTAACGTATAATACGTATAATACGAATATTACGATAAATACCGATATTAAATTGTCGAGGAAACTTTTACTTCTCATTAATATTCCTCTAAATGAGCAGCAATCAGCGAGAGATAATATGTATTACGCCAGAAACAGATGGCTTATAATACTAATTTAAGTTGACGCTAATTAACTACCGATTCTTATAATTACACATTCCTTAATTGTCCGTTGCGCAATGGGATTTTTAATAACCGATAAAAAACACAGAGGAGATGGTATAGAATTATATAAAAACGAAAGCTAACAAACAGATGTAATATTTGTCGTCACATAATACGAAGAAGAAATTAAATTCCACTAAATCAGCGCTTTTTTCTGTTGCGACGATGTCGCGAACAGATCATAAAGATAAATTTCATGACTCAACAAAACAATAATCCGAACCCTCTCTCCTCCCATATTATGTCGCTTCGACATTTCGAAGGTGACCATTTCGCTGACCGTGAAGAGCTCCTGTTTGTCGCGCGTTTTGCCTCGATATAATAATTTTTATAACATGAGAGACGCCAGGGCACAGAGAAGAACCTGTCTTTCCTCGAAAGACGACACGCGGACGAAGCTGCGGAGAGTGCCATCGCCACGGAGGAAGCGAGGAATCGAATAGATAATGACGATGATGACGTTATCGTGCGAGAAAGAGCGACGGCGGCGAACCGAGAGCAGAGGAAGAGACGAAAGGGAAAGAGAGACACTCCCCCTCTTTTTCTTCCACCTTCCCCTCCTCTCTCGAAGCTGAAATCCGAGGAAGAAGAAGACGCACCTATATAAGAACGTACGTGGACCGCTGCTCCGGACCGTCTTGAAGAGTCGTCGCGACCAGCTTTCCGTCTAGGTTCCGCTTTGTTTCTTCGATCGATTCTCGTCTCGCAATTTTCGTCCACCGGACTTCCTGAAGATCGCAGCGGCGTTTCCGCGAGCTGTCGTAATCAAGATGCAGCTCGGATTTACGGTGCTCGCTGTCCTCGCGGTGACGGCCGCGTCTGTCGTCGCCGTCTCGGAACGAGTGTGTAAGTACCCCTCGATTTGACAGTTGACCATTGACATTCGATCGATAGGAATCAGAGAAGTTACATCTGGTTATTTATTTATCGTAGAATGAGTGAAACGCCTCGAAAATCCTCATATATCTTCAGTGTTGTCATCAATTGTTAAGTCTTCATTGATATTAGAATTACACGGAAAAAAATAATTCGCTGCCACAGCGATTTTACGTTGTTGTGACGAAATCTGTCAATTATTATGTAGACAGTAAAAAAATATATTGAAGGTGCCAGTCACTATTTACTGGATATAATTTTGCTGAATCTACTATCTAATGATTTTGCTATAAGAATAAATTAATTCTTATTTAGGCGTTAAAACAAACACATTCTTGCTGCGTTAACAATGTGATTTGTGTGATGTCATTATAACAAGACATTTTTGCTGTAACAGCAAAGTAACGTGTTTCTAAAGACAAATTCAGTCAACAAAAATTTTCTATTCCAGTGTCAAAACTATTTTTGCTCTAATAACGAGTAATTCTAATAACGCGTTCTAATAACGCGAATTGTAATAGATGTGATCTTAATATCTTAAGTTTTATCTTCTTTTCTCCTGCTTCACTTTCTCTAAATTGCAATCTTTCAGCGTTCGAAAATACTTATAACGAGCGTTTGCGTTGTTACAGTCACAATGTGCATCCCGGAGAAGTATTCGAAGGAGTGCGAAAAGATGATGGAAGATTCGGCCACTCATGGCTACCCCATAGCGTGCATCTCTGGCCGCGATCGATACGACTGTATCGAGAGGGTCGGCAAGAAGGAAGCGGACATCGTCGCCGTCGATCCAGAGGATATGTACCTGGCGGCGAAGAACAAGCTAGCTGAGAAGGCCGGCTACAACGTTGTCGAACAGGTAATTTTAAAAAGTTGCATCATTTAGAATGGCGATAGAAGAATTAAAAAATCTACTTCGTGCGCATATTTGACGATCGACCGAGCAATGCATTTATCATTGAGATTCTCAAGTTGCAATGCGATTACGTATGAATAATGCAGTTCTTTCTTGCTTGATTCCTTTATCAGGTGAGAACGAAGGAGGAACCCGAAGCAATATATCGTTACGAGGCGGTCGCCGTGGTACACAAGGACCTGAACATCAACAATGTTCAAGGCCTGAGGGGCCTCAAGTCTTGCCACACCGGCGTAGGCCGCAATGTCGGCTACAAAATTCCCATCACGAAGCTCACCGCGATGGGCGTGCTGACCGATGTCAACAACCCGGAATATTCCGCTCGCGAGAACGAGCTTCGCGCTTTAAGCACGCTCTTCGACAAAGGCTGCCTGGTCGGCACGTGGTCACCTGATCCCGCGATCAATCAGAGGCTCAGTAAGTGGCAGTAATCTGCGAAACTTGAGTCAATTATGTCACGTGGACGAATTGTCGAACAAACAATATCGTTAGCTGCAAAACGACACTTGTATGAGTCGACACGTCGCGTCACTTTCGACATAAACTAATTTCAAGTCTTATATATATATATATATATATATATATATATATATATATATATATATATATAT